GGGTGGGTGTGGGGTGTGGGGTGTGGGTGTGGGTGTGGGTGTGGATCCAAGCCTTCTCTCGAAACCCCGCCCCACACCCCACACCCCCCCCCACCCCACACCCACCCACACCCCACACGCACACACACCCACCCCACACCCGCACCCACACCCACACCCACCCTCGAGTGCAGTAAAGAAGATGAAGATTACTATAAACTCGAATACCAAATTAATGGAACAGATACTGTTATTCATATTAGAAAAAAACTGGAAGAAGGAAAAGAAACAGTTACTTTTCATGTATTACAAGTAGGATATTGTGAAATGAATTTAAAACATTCTTTTTTTTTGTGAATTGCAGATTGTATCAGAACCTATTTTGCTGAGTGATTTTGTGGAAAGGAAAAACAAATATTTTCAGTAAGATATTATTTTAAAATACGCATTCGGATTTTTAATATGGAGCTGTTTCAAAACCACATCATCCTAGGGAAAGAACGCGATCCAGAAATTATCATGAAAAATCACTCAGAGGAACCAACATTAAGTCGGCTGATCACTTGATCAGTACATCTGAATTCTAGAAAACCATTTTGTACTTATGCCAGACGTTGTCATGAAAGTTTTGAAAGTGATTGATAACAAAGTTGATTAGACGGTCATAATAGATAGATAATACTAAGTATAGAAAGGTTTATACTGATGATCTCAGAGATTGATCATGTTCAGGTGAAATGATTACTTTTACCGAGTTGTTAATGAATTTAAAATATGAGGTGCTATTGGCGTGCCTAAACAGAGGTATCCAATTTTTAAGTTATGCATTATTTTGGTATAGAAAGACCATAATATTCGAACTATTCATATAAACTCTTTAATATATTCATCAGATTTTTTAGAAAGTGACTTTCTAAAACCTTGGAGAAACTTATTAATAATAATCAGGCTTCTTTAGTTCATGTGAATAGTTCATATGTTATGATGCGTCTACACCAAAATAATGCATAACTTAAAAATTGGATACTTCTGTCCAGACGTGCCAATGACAGCTCATATTTGAATTTCGGTAGTTTCTCGGTAAAAGTAATCATTTGACCCGAACGTGATCAACCTGTGAGATCATCAGTACAAACCCTTCCATTATAAGATATTCAGAGTAATTAGACAATATCTAATACGTACATTTGGCATTCTCTCGATTCGTCCCTAATTTTCAGCGAAACATCACAGGATGGCAATGAGGTTGAGGCTAATCCAGAACAAATCGAGAGTAAAGCATACATTTGGGTGTGGGTGTGTGTGGGTGGGTGTGGGTGTGCGTGTGGGTGTGGGTGTGGGTGTGGGTGTGGGTGTGGGTGTGGGTGTGGGGTGTGGGTGTGGGTGTGGGTATAGGGTGTGGGTGGGTGTGGTGGGGTGTGGGTGTAGGTGTGGGGTGTGGATGTGGGTGTGGGTGGAGTGTGGGTGTGTGTGGGTGTGGGGTGTGGGTGTGGATCTGGATGTGGGTGTGTTATCTTCATACACACACACGCCTATACGCACATCCACACCCTACCCACACCCAGACCCCCACCCCCACCCCCACCCACCCACACCTACACCCACACCCCACACACCCACACCCTATTGCAATAAATTCGTTTGATATCTAATGTATCATTTGCTCTTTTGTGCAAATGACGCGAATGATAGCATATAAATTATTGTTTTAGTACGTTACGTAGCTTTCTTAGAATAGGGTGAGGTGTGGGGTGTGGGTGTTTGTTGTTTCACTCAAATTCACACGCACACCCTTGCATGATGATGAAGAAAAAGCTCACACAAATATTTTCGGAGTAGAAAATTCTCACAATAGTTGCGGAACCATTTTTCAATGCTTTCTGTTCTAAAGCTTGTGTAACCTCTCTCAAATCTTTTTAATGATATTCATTTGTGTACTCTCACACTAGATGCTTTGCTTTTTTTAACAGAAACAGATGAAATCTCTGTATGGTTCCATCACAGCAATCGATGAAAAAAACAAAATTAATGCAAAACTTTTGCTCCAACAATTAAGTTTCCTTTTGTTTGGAAATTGAAGTATCAAGTAATCAAAAATATTGTCCTTTACTTTATTTGTTTTTCTCGAGAAATTAAAACAAGACGACGATGACAAAGAGAATTATTCTGACAATATACGAATACTCAGAAAGAGTTTATAGCAGTATTTGCTTGACACCAACGTGATCGCCGACATTGAAACTTTCTATTAAAAATGTTTCTTATAAATAGAATTTATAAAAAATACATAATTTACACATTATTTGAGTTTAATAGTGTATGGTAATGCTAAAAGATATAATTCGTTTATCCCTCAAAAAATTTTATAGTCAACTCTTTCGTAGTTTTCCAAAAGTCAAAACGATTTTTATAACTAGTACATAAGGCATGGTCGCTGAAATATGCCCTTTTAAATTTTAGCTCTCGGCTTACCTAAGAAAAATGACCTTTCTATCAATTCGTTTTCGAGTACATTTGAGTTTCACGTTTATCCAAGAACGCTTGCAATATTCGTTATTATCGATATTTCATTTTATGATGCTCATAATACTATCGAAAATAACAAACATTTATTAAGATGTTAACATTTATCTTTTTTTATGAAAAACTGAAATATTTCTATTTGAATGAAAGAAAAAAATTAATCGAGAATTATTTCACAAATTATAATAATACATAAATGATATATATCATAACGTGTCGTTGTCGCATACTATGACGAATATAAATACGTTTTTTTCTCACTTTTCACCGTTCCCAATCGATCTTATACAAGGTATAACAATATAATAGGTTTCCCTTTTATTTTCGAAATTTTTCAACAAAAACAAATAGCCAGGTCAACTCTAAATAGTGATTTGTATAGCTCTTGAAATTCTCTATCGAATATAGTATGGGCCAAAATTTCAAAAAAAAGACCTTTGGGTAGAGACTTTTTCACACAATCGATTTACTAGAATTTCAAGTCTTAGAGAAATTTGATACAAATATTTTTAAATATAGTCATGTGAAAGAGCAAAAGACTCTGAGAAAAATGTGGGATCGCCCAGCTCTCCACGATGTTTTGTTGGAAAGTTATGGGCACTAGAAAATCCGGAAAAAGCACGTTTTTTTGCCGTTTTTGCCTGTTTGTTTTTGATAACCTATGCAATTTTTTTGCATTTTCTGATGCATATAATTTTGCAAGAAAACATTGTGGAGAGCTGGGCGATCCCACATTTTGTTCAGAATGCTTTGCTCTTTCAGATGACTATATTTATATATATATTTGTATCAAATTCCTCTAAGACTTGAAATTCCAGTGAACCGGTTTTCCGCAAAAAGTCTTTTCACAAAAGTTTTTTTTAACATTTTGGCCCATACTATATTCGATAGCGAATTTCATGGGCTATCAAAGTCACTATTTAGATTTGACCTGGCTGTTCGTTTTTGTTGAAAAATTTCGAAAATAAAGGGGAACCTATGATTTTGTTATACTCTGTATATTTGTTCAGGTGTATAGAAAGGTATTAATTTTCCTAATGCAAGTCGCATTTCGTCAACTAATCGACACCAATTTGATGTTAATGTACCGACATGTAAATCTGCGTTAGCTTCAATAAATAAATCAGTAAGAAATTCTAATACAATTTTCCCACGTTGTTGTTTTGTCATATGAATTAATGACCCAAAAACAATATTTCTTGGCAATGTTAGATTTAATAATTTATAATAACCTTGTTTTTCTTTATTGATTTGAATAAATTCATTGAATACTTTTTCATCTTCAGAATTAATATAAATCGTTGATATATTCGCTTGTCGAGCATGAGCATCAAATAAATCAAAATATTGTTTAAGTGTAAATGCTCGAGACATTTCTTTTTTTCTAACTTTATCTGATCGACGTACGTAAAGAGCAATATAAGGATGATGAAGATCGATTGAAGATGGTTGAAATTGTTTTGATATGGCATTCAGTACATGAGCTAATGTTTCAGGTTTATATCGAATTAAATAAAATATTATTTGTACACGATACCAATTAAAAGTTTGATTTTGAAATGTAGATGGAATAATTGATTTAGACCAATGGCCAAACTTAGCATTGATTGTAATTGTTTGATTACCATCAACTTTGGATGGAATTGAACAGTTTGTGATAGGAAGAAAAAAACAATCTGGTGTTGTTGAATTACAATCTCCATAAAGCTAAAATAAATAGAATCTATTATTAACAGTTAGTAGACATTTCAATAGCAATTTTTCGAGCTTTTTTTTTTTTGATAACTCAAATTTTCATTTCAATGTTAATAAGAAAAAGGTAAGCATAAGGGTTCATTCTTCTAGACTATATAATTGGATAAAAGTTTGATTAGCATATTTAATATACTATTAAAATCTATGTTCATAATTCTGATCTGTTCAAGTAATCCGCTACAAATATGTCACACGATTTTGATTAGATGCCCTGTTAAAATTGTTTGACAATGACACATGTCCAAGCATCGGACGTCGTTAAGCTTTATATGATTGCTACGAGTGGGCGTGAGTGAGACTACGACTAAATTAAAAAAATTCGTGTCTATAGCCCAGTGAAGAAGAATTATAGTCGCTTTAGTAAAATTTTTACTAAGAGCAAAACATTGCTAAAATAACAGCAACAAAACGTTTCGAAATGTTATGTTGCTTATCGGCATCTTTGATGTTCTAGGATAGCCCTGAAAATTTCAACGAAAACGAACATGTCGTTTTTCGAGATATTAGATTTTCTAGAAGACTCGATTATTGCCTCTATCTATCATAAACTGAAACATGCATATAGACAAGAGTTTAACTTAAAATTGTTTGTCTTAAATTTTTTTCGTAAATATCTTGCTCTCAAGAACAATGTCATTAAAACAACTATAACTCTCTATCAGTAAACCATGTACCAAAATCTTTTTAAGCTTGACTTAGTCTTCTGTAGACCTACTCATAGCTGTAATATGAAGTCGAATGGTGTCTGACTTCTGGATATGTTTCGTTGTCAGTAGATTGGGAAAGTGCCCTAAGTGCCATATTCGAGTAAATTTTTTTCTCGCTCATTCATATATGATTTGATAGAGCTTGAAAATTTTGTAAACCTATCTAGGGTGTAGGTGTGTGGATGAGAAGTTGCATGTAAGTTCACTCCTAACTCACACCCACACCCCAAAAAGCTTAAATAGATGCTTTCACAGTTCACAATCTGGTGATTCGAAGGCTATATGACAATGATTCCTGTTTCTTGTCACAAAAAACTCGATAGGCTTACAAAGTTTTCAAGCTCTATCAAATTATATATAGCTGAGCGAGGGAAAAATTCACTCGAATTTGGCATTCCCGGCATCTTAATTACCAGATATCTGACTGGTTTCTATAGTATTCTAAGAATTTTACAACAAGTCAGTAGATTGAAAATTGAAAAATGTTTTACAGTCCATCTCTAAAAACCCATGAGGCACCTTACGATTTCTCTGAAATATTCATAGCAGGGAACTCTGAACTTAGTATATCTATTAAGGTTTTGTGTCCAAATGTATTTTAATGATATCAATTTATTTTACCCAATTTCCTGGGATTTTATACACAGCAATTCTATTATCTGCTATTGCTGCACCAAATGCCCATGCAATTTGATGAACGGTTGATCCAAAACCAGACCAAGCATAATTTTGAATAATAGCAAATCGTTTATTCGTACAATTGATTGGATGTTGATGTTCATAAAACCATTTTTGTGTCAATAATGTATTTTGTATTGAAAATTCATTCTTTGACGAATAATCACATGTATCAATATTTTCTTTACGAGAATATTCGACAATACGACATGGTAAAATACGTGCTAGACGAAAATAATTTTCATCAGCTAAACGCATTGACCAAAGATGTGTTGAATTGTATCCGTTAAAAAATGGTTGTTGCATTTGTTTATCGCTTTTTGATGATGATTGATTCAATTTCATCAATGATGAGAATAAGATGTTTACTTTACTTTTCGCTTCATCAAAGGTTGAACGAAGAAGAAAACCACAGACAAAAATCAGTACAAATAGAAATGCACTGTACACTGTTTTAATAGTTGCTATTTGTAATGATAGCTTACTTAGCAAATGTTTCATAATGGATGATAAAATAAAGATCTATTAAATAGAGAAAATGGTTGTATGCTACAATTTCTTCAATACGATTTTAATAATTCGTTAATTATGAGTTAATAATTGAAAAAATTTGTCGAGATAAATTTTAATTTATATTAACGATCATTTGAATGATAGAATCTAAAAAAAACTTAGACCATGAAATAGTAATATTGAAAAAAAAAGCATTTTTACAAAGATAAAGTACTTCATAACATGGTTGTAGAAGTTCTTTTCTGTCTATCAACAAAAAGAAATATCATTAATATGTTAATGATTTCATCACAACAAATCCATGCGTGTTTAACATATATACATTCAAAAGTCAAAGTTCTTTGTCTCTTCATTCTTTTCTGACTGCATCTCTATCGTTGGAAGTGAATGATACAATACTCTAGGATTAGATTAAGACTTCAGATTTTCTTTTGTTACCCTTAAAGCTATATGAAAAATTTCGTTTTACTAAAAGCCTTACTTTAATATACTAATAAGGTCTTCTATAACTTCGTCTTGTGTTGAGTAAACAAAGGTACATATGCATGGTAAAATAAAGCTGTACGACATTATTCCCGTGCAAGCTTTCTGTTTTATTCTTTTTCTTTTCTCCTTCTTCTTTTGCCTTTTTTCATATTTCATATATTTTCTTTATGCTTATTCTCTTCCTTTTTCTTTCGCCTTTTGGTTACTTTATACACTTTTTCTGTCTCTCATGTTATTTTTCTTTCATTCATTACCGGTACATAAGACGTTCAAACTTTATGGGCCCTTTGGGACCGATATGATCATAGGGCTTATACTGCTTCATAGAAAAAAAGCTGTAAGAACTCTTCTAATCTCATAAAAGAAGCAATTCATATACTCAATTCACATTAAGAAATGAACTCTGCTCAAGAAAAGAGCTAATAAGCATTAACCTCTCTTGATTCTGACTAAGTATAAAGCTGGAAGCTGTCAGACAAATAGTTGAGGTCAGGTTCAGAATAATATTCTTTCATATTAAATAAAATCGCTCTGTCTTTTGACAATGCCTAAACCGGTTGATTATGATCTGCGTATTTTGAGTGAATGTTTCTTTTTTACCGCATTTTTTTGTGCATAATCTTCCATTTTGTTTCTTGATATTTATGTTTTTATTCTACAGCTCTTTGGCTATTGTTCATAATATTGATGGTAATGAAATCTGAGAATTGGAATATTTTGGAATAATATGTGTGACTAAACGGCTTTTTAAACAAAATTATTTACATATATAGAGTTTATGAGTGTATTCAATAGAGTCCTGCGGGAACAACTTTTTTGGGTTCCCGTTTCCCGTTCCCGTTCTCGTTTCCGACAAAAATAATTTTTGTTCCCGTTCCTGTAAGAAAAATCTTTGCTCTCGATTCCGTTTCCCGTTCCCGTTAAAAAGATGTTTGTTTCCGTTCCCATTTCCCGTTTCCATAAGGCATTCAGAATCTCTAGTGATATTCCATCTTTTTACATTTCAAAAAACTATCGTTGTCTGATATTAGCTTCTAACAGCATTACGTTTGTCAGAATGTGACATAGGTTATAGAGTAAGCTACAGCGAAATTGAATTTATCTATTGTCCATACTATCAATCTGCAATGTTTTGATTCATAGTCTGAGG